TAGATGCCAGTGTACATCAGATAAGCTTTTTGTCCCAACGGAATCTGAGTTAAGTAGGTGAGACCTTGATACTTGCAGAAGTTCTACTTCAATCGAACCGATATGGGGCTGGAGACTACCAAGAACAATGTTATGGTTCATTGCGACAGTTAGGCCTATATTTTTGATGCCCTACAGCTATGCTTCAAGGCTCAGGTTGGACCTTTCCCACCAAATAAGTACAGTGGATCCTTATGTGGCATGGCAGTGTAGGTCTTTCCGCCGGTTGAAAGTATGATGATCTAAAAAAAGGCTTTCTGTGCTCCTTTTCCGGCAGCTAAGTTTTGCCGTTTCTGAAGGGCTTTTTACGACGTGGGGGAGCATAGCTTACTTCATAACGGCAGATTACTTTTTAGGTACTTGAGGATCTTGCTCTTGCTACTAGCTTTATTGCTTAAAGCTGTACGGTGCGTTGAAAAGGAATATATGACATCCAAATAAATTTGGATAGCTGGAAGTTAGAATTATAACTTTAACAACTTCAGTATAATTCCAGTCTCACTTTCTTAGCGCGCGCGATGATGAATTTGGGCGTTGAAAAACAGTACCGATTTGTTTCGTATGGAGAGTGATGCCCATTAGGGCAGGTCGATTTTATTTTCTATTTTTTTGACTATGCGCGTATAGCTTAGGAGGATTCTACATATAATTCTAAGCCAATTTGCCAAAGAAACTATGGGTCTAATATCAGTTTGTAGTTTGCCAAATCGCGAAAATAGGTCTCGAAGAAAATGTGAAAATTTTCACTGCTACGCTTGCTGGTGGAAGTTAAAGAAAAATATAAGTTCAGAGATGGATTGCTCACACCAAAATATTTCTTATAGTATGTTTTTATACTAAATTTAAGCACTTCTTTAAGACACTATAGTACCTATTTTTGCAATTTGACAAACTCCAAATTGATTTTAAACCCATGGTTTCTTCGGTTCTTTGCTTAGAATTACCCACAGAATACTTCTGTACTATACGCACAGTCGAAAAAATCTGTCATACAAATTGAGATGCCCTAATGTTCATACCTACATACATACAGCCTCATTGTTGACGCTCACTGAGCTCTATCTACAGATGAATCACACCGAGCTGTTCTGGTAGCTGATTCACACACCCGATGTAGATAACAAAGATGCTATTTTCCTTTTAATAAAAGTTAAATAATGCATGTAAGAAAATGTATGAAGATCAGATAATTGATGTAATTATGTAGTACTTGTTTTAAACCTACATACATATGTATGTAGTACATGCATATTTACATACATACATACATACATACTTACATGTTGTTAGAAGAACGTCGTTATACCACAAAAACATTGACTGAAGAAGGGAGAGCCCGAATCACGAATCACGTGATCGAATGAAATTCAATTCGAAATTTTTTTTTTGAGATTACGGCATAGAGTCCAACCGATTAATCGGCATCGGCCAAAAATTGGGAATCGGTCGGACTTTTTATTAGGGCATTCGATAACGAGTTCGCTTTTTCAATTTGAATTGTGTTGGAATGAAAACATTTTCATTCGATCACGGATTGTGGTATTCGGACCCAAAATTGACATATGTACATGTACATACATATGTAACAAGAAAGCCATCAGTCTTTGACCATAAGTTATTTAATGCAAATTAAGGTTTAATAATTTTATCCTCCTATTAAATTTTAGTACTAGATACATATGTATATGTTATGCATTTATAAAAAAATTGTAATTATTTTTTTTCACATTTTTAATTTTTGAGTTATGACGTTCTTCTAGCAAACGAGCGCTAAGTAAACAAATTACTAGTTTTTTTTAAGTTCGGGTACAAAGCATTGCTTGTACTCACCTCTGCCTCTAATACCTTCATAGTCCCGGCGTCGATGTTGGCCAACAACAGCCACTTCCGCATCATCATTTTGCCGACGATAGGAGAGATGCGATCGAATAGATGAGAAAGGCATAGCCGGAAGTTGCAATTAAACTGGGTCAGCCAAGAGTTCCGATGATACAGTACATATGTGCATATGTTTGTAACTATATACGGCGCCAACGATGGATAATGGATCAGGCGAAGACACATAAAATGAAAGCTACAAACAAGGGGGCGGACATGCTAGAGCGCGCACTACTGGGGCTTCGCTGCCAACAGCTTATAACCGCGAGCGTTGCACCGAAACCGGAAGCAAATAAGATTTTTTCCGCTAAACAGCAACTATTTAAAACAAAACTTTACTACCGCACTTCACCTTAGAAACACTTTATATTTGGGCACTTTGCATTTATTTGTAGGCACAAATTATTAAAACATATTTTCGTAGTAAAAAATGATGCGCAAGTTATGAACCCGCTACTCGCTCGCTCGGTGCCATAACACTTTTCTACTCATTTCTATTTTTTCTATTATCTATTTGCGCTAATAAAAGCAACTGATGAAATGCTATTTTAGCAGCACAAACTCAACTTGCGATAAGCTTACAAGTTTTGTTTACACACTTCACTAAATTTTTCTACACTCCACTGACCGCACTTTGCTTAATTTTCAATAATTTCACTACCGCCACCGACATTGAATCGTTGCAAAATATCTAATGCGCTGCACAATAAAAAACTGCAAATACTTTTTCATTCACCAAAGTGAAAATTGCAATAAAGAATACAAAAGCGCAGTATAGAAACAACACCACGCAGAAGAGGAAGCAACAGAATATCTGATAATTGGGCGCTAAATACAGCTGTGCAGCTGGGAGTGGGAGAGAGATATATGTGCATGAATGTGTATGTGCTTGCATTGCTGATAAGCAACGATGCATCGAAATAAAGAAAAAGTGGCCACACTTTGCCAGTCAGCTGACAGCTATTCGTTAGCAGTGCGAGTCTCGTTCGCTAGTTGTTCCTGGAGCATGCAACAAATAAACACAGAGGTCGCTTTCAACGGCAGCCATTTTGTCATTTCGTTTCGTTGGTTTCGGCGAAATGTTTGTAAACGATTCCGGTTTTGTGGGTTTATACTGCGTCGCCTGGGTAAAAGATTGTCGTAAGCGCCATTTTGACGATTTTTAGTTCTAGATGCAGTTATATATTTTGAAATAAGGTCTTTCGATTAGTGTTTTCAGTTTATAGATATCTCCTTTAGTTTCCGAGATATCGACTACAATTTTTTGGATAATTTAGTAAAAATTTAGTTAGTGATGCAGTCATACTAATCTAGTCAATATCTTAAAAAAGGCATTCTTCATTTTTGGATATCTCCTTTAGTTTCCGAGATATTAAGTAAAAAGTGTCGTTAATTTGGTAGAAATTTTGATCACATTTTGTCGTATTTCAAATCGAGAAGGACTACAATAGCCCGTTCAATTGTTGGAGCTGCCCCCAGGAAAATCATTCGCTGTTACATCGAATTCCAGATCCACAGAAGGCCAACTCATCCCATCAGCGGCGTCAGAAATTATTTGACGGGCGAGATCCAGGGCTATTTCGCGCAACCGCTGCGTTCGACGTGGTACATACAGACCATAAGCCACATTCGCCGAAAGACAATCAACACCTTCACCAATTCGCGCCTCGTGAATGCCGTCATCGGATTTCAACCACCATCAAACGCAAGCGAAAAGCTTAAGAGACCCGGATAATTCTGGCGAAATTAAGTTCTGGCTACTCTAGGAGGCATTCGAAAGTTTATTGCATCACACGGCCCCTTAAACACATTCAACTAACTCTCCTCCCTCTTTGGTTTGACCTTTTCTTACAGTACGTTTCACGGGCCTACTGTTATAGTTGAGCTCGGCCGCAACAATTGATAGACTACCCGATTTAGGCAGGGCTGAGTACTGCCGCAACAACAACAGGGCAGATAATGCTACTTACATATGTTTGTATGTATGAATTAATGTGAGCGACTTTCACTATCATCTCAGCTTTGATTAATTTTATTAACTCGAAGAAAATAATAATGTAAACAAGTTGTGTCTTCTGCAATATATACATAAATGCATACATACATATCTGTGTTCGTATGGAATAACAGCCTAAGTCGGGAGGTCGACTTTAGTAAAATGTACCATTCCCATAATGTCCCATAACGCGCTAGCCATTGAAAAACTCATGGAAAATAAACGTGAATGAAATCATTTTCATGACAGCAAGCCGCTGCCGATATTGGTTTCAATAATAATGGGAATGGTTCATTACAGTATAGGCAACGTCTCGACTTAATCTGTTTTTACATATGAATACAGATATATATATATATATATATGCTTATATATACCCATTCTTATATTCTAATTTAGCATCCTTAAGAAGGGGAATATAATGCAGTTAAAATGTCAACACGCACCGAAACACCTACTTCGATTGTTTTCTATGCCTTCTGTTACTTTGTAAACTTTTTGTCTGCCTTCGAAGAGCTTCTTCTAATACAGCTTCCAAAGTGAAGATGTTATTGAGAATGCTATGTCTTATGTTTAGATTAATAAGAGTATATATAAACATACGTATAATATGGTCGGTGTGGCTGAGTGCTTAGAGATGCGTACTACCACACTGTTGGTCCTGAATCCGATCCCTGATCTGGGTAACATATAAAAAGTTTTTTCAAACAGCGGTCGCTCCTCGGCAGGCAATGGCAAACCTCCGAGTGTATTTCTGTAATAAAAAGCTTCTCAAGAAATTCATTTGGCATTCATAGGCAACATAAAACTGTATATCTAGATGCACACCATCAATCGAAGGAAAAGCTCGGCCAAACACATAGCAAAAGTGTAAGCGCTAAAATATTATATTTTATGTTATTCGCTTTACACATTATCAGCAACTAGAGGTCAATACTTTTTCCAAGGAAATACCCAGAAAATGCAATAAAATCAGAGCCGCTCAATATGAAGTAAGCTTCAGAGGTATCATCAACGCTGATAAGGGAATACTGCAAGTCTATCGCCTACCATTTCGTTTGGAATCTTCTCATTTAAAGTCAATAAATTTGCATGTTTTGCACAGCATCCCAGTCAAAAGACTTTCAACTCGAGATGGGTTTAGTCGCGTATGGAATTTTGATTTTAACTCTTTCGCTTGCCTCGGCAAAAACGCTCGATGAGTGCATTGTACCTATTGCATCCATACACTACAACCGCATACAATGGCCACTGATCTACAAATCCAATGGCGAGTTATATCCCACACAAGTGGATGGAGCACAACAACACGCTAGTGTTCATTTGCCCGCCGGAGCTGAGGCCATACTTTCATGTGGACCTAATTATCTAAAGAACTATAATCGCGCAGAGGTTTTGCGTGTGAAATGTGAAAGCGGCGGCAAGTTCAGTGTTTTGAGTGATGTGTCTGATGCGAAAAAGGCACCGAAAGCGGTGGAACAGTTCGGCTGCGATTTACGTGTAATGGAAGAGGTGTTGAGCACTGTGAATGGTTGCACGAATGAGGCATGGACCGCCGTGGTATTTGGCTATGTGAATCCACAGGATCAACTGACACATATAATTGGCGAGGCATGCTACGATGAACAGCAGGGACGTACTATTTTTGCGCATGTGAAATTGAGCAGCTCGGGTAAGTGTGACATGTTTTAAAGAGTTTCTTATATCATTTCTTTAACTTTGAAATTTTTTAACAGACGCCTCCTACCTCCAACGTCTCCCCAAAGACTTCCTCACCAAGCACCGTCATCCAGATGGACGCTACAAAAGTGAACTCTTCCGTGGCCTGCATTTCGACGAGATCTATGCGCGTGTACGCCAAGCGTTGCACTTGAAACGCGCACCCTTCCTACACAAAACCAATTATGTGGATGAATTTTTCCTAAGCAGTCCGCAATTTCATGCTGTGAAAAAATTGGGTTGGAACTATTTTGTCGCTCATGATGAACTCACAGCATGGACTGCGCTCAAGGAGGATATACTGGCACACCAACGCGCGCTCAAAGACGAAGCTTTGGACATTTATGTCGGTAGTCATGGCATTCAAGTGTTACATGGCGCGAACGGTGAACAACTAGAGCTCTACCTACAACCAGCAGCGGGTGAAAATGGAAAATTTCCCGTGCCAGAACTTTTATGGATTGTTGTGAAAGAGGAGGACAAGGCAACGGCTTTTGGTGTATACAACGATGCTAATGCGAATGCTGTTGAGAGTAGCGCAGCAGCTACGACGACTCATGCAACGATTTGTGAGAGTAAGTGCGCTCAGGTCAGCTGGCTATCGGCGGCATTGAAAAAAGGAGGCGTAATCTGTTGTAGTGTAGCAGAATTTAGACAGGTTGTGAAGGAGGTGCCCGCTATAGCAGATGCGCAGGTGGCTTCGAAATAAGGAAACTGATTGTTCGTTCTCGTGTCGAAAATATTGAGGAAATAAATATGTACATACATATGTATATTAATTGCAAGTAAATGTGGTTTTGGTAGGGTTGAAACTTCCAAGGGAAGACGGAGAAGTAAGTATCTTAACTCACTGATTTCCTTAGTCTTGTAAACATCTGGTTTAAGAATTGTGGACTCAGCCTGAACCATATTAAGTTAAGACCGGGGTTCTCTTCGCAAGAAAATATAAAGTTGCTCTATTCAAACCTCACATCTTAAGCGGGATAGAATTTACTTTCCCAAGCTAGGTCAAATACCTTGGATTCATTCTATACAAGAAACTCGACTGTAAGCGAAACATCGAAGGCCGCTCCAGTAAGGCTAATAATATCACCTGCAAGAAGGCTATAGGCAAAAACTGGTGGCCGGTGTTAAAAAAGAGCCAAATTGGAACGGGTAGAGCGGATGGCTTCCATGCTTGCCGCGGGAGCACTACACCCACCAAATCTCTGGATGGAATGTTAGATTACCACCAGCTGATAACTACAGCAAATTTCTAGTCGGCTGTAGTGCTGCTAGATTAGATGTCATCCAGCCATGGATAGACCCCAGAGAAGAAGGAATGGGAAGGTGCCGAAGATCCACACGACGGGGTCGACGGCTCCAGGGCTCTAAGAAGTATTCGACAGAAAATTAGTATTAACAAGTCCAATTTAATTTCAAGGATTTTGGAAGATATGGGAACAATTTTTTGGCTAGTCGTTTACGCAAAATTTTTTGTAAAATAAGGAGTAAAAAAATCAGAATGATTTAAAGAAGTAAAATTTAGCTGTGAAGGTGAGAATATTGGCTCAAGGAAAGGAAAGCTTTGCTCAGTACGAACACAAATAAGCGTGATATTACAAATTTCTTCTTTCGACTTTTCGCCGATAAAAGTGAAATATGTATGTATGTAAGTGAACAAGGATGGTTGATGTTGGATTTCTGTCAAACGTTTTCACATAAGGAAAGTTTTGGTGAAAAGAGGAAGTAAATATTTTGAGTTGACTCACTAAAGAGGAGTACAAGTTGGTTGATAAAGTTTTGAATTACATAATTATAACAGAAAGGATTTGAAGGCGTGAAATCAAGCGAAATTTTCTAAACCAGCTATAACAACTTTCAACGGAAGCTTAGCGTTTACGCAGAAATTTTGTTTGAAAAATAAGGAATCAAAAAAAAAATACCAAACCCACTATAGTGTACAATTTGGCCATGGGGGTGGTGTGTAGAAAACGTGTCCTCATTAAGGACTCTTTGAATAATAATTCAAAGCAGAATCTTGAAAAAAAACATCCAAATGATTTTCAAAAAATTGAAATAGAAAAAAATTATGAAGGAGAAAACATGCGCCTGCCGAGCGACTCAAGTGAGCAACGAAAAAATGCGCTTCAAGTACGCCTTTATATACAATTTTCGAAATGTGAATGAATTGCAAAAAAAAAAATTTCCGCTATTTCAAAGAAACTAAAATACGCAGCCTACTTTGACTTCTTTTTTCAATTATGGTGCGTATTTTGAAAAGAAATGCAAATTTTCTATGCTACAGTGATGAAAAATACTTTTTAACAAGGCACATTAAACAGGTAGTCTCAGTAGAGCAAAAACAACATTTGCGTGTATTTTGTTGTTGCTTCTGGTATCGAAAGTGTCAAAAACTGTTCTGAATTTTTTCTTCTAAATCAAAGCGTGCCATGTGAAATACAAAAAATTATAAAAAATAAAAAATTAAAATTGGAAAAAATAAAAATTTATGCAACGTTCTTTCCTAGTAAATTTGTTTGCTTCTCGAAGCATTGATCCATCCTTTGCAAGGCCCAGTAATCAGCGGTCGTGCTGCCGAGTTGGGCGAACGTTCCAAAAGCTGCTATTCAATCGCTTGTTTTGTATGGAAAAAGGTTTCACATGCAAATGGATTTTAACAATTCAGAATTTTTGTGAGAAAAAATTAAAAATATTTGACATTTTCGAGACCAAATAATTTGAAAATAAATCAAATCAGCTGCTCTACTGATACTACCTGTTCAATGTACCTTGCTTTTTAATAATACAATGCGTGCGTTGCCAATGTGGCGTCTTCTATTCAAAATCACAGAGTTAACTTGGATGTCTGTGTCACAGAGAAGAATTTCTATCTGGCGGGGCCTTTATTTATAATAGAAAGGGCTGAAATGTGAATATTAGTTATGTTTCCAAACGGTACATTAACGGTGGAATAGCGTTTCGTCATACAAAAACTGGCATGCTAGTATATTGTACAGAGAGTCCTTGTCAGTCATTTCCTTCCATACGAATTATGTTCGACGATTTTTTTTTTATATGGAAAGAATGAGCAACATCTTCAACAAAAAAATTGCTGAAAAATCAACGGTAACTCCCTGCTATTTTAAACTCCACTGTTTCCTTTTTGTTTCAGGTCCGAAAGACCCAACCAAATCTGAAAATCAAATTTCGATTCGAGTTAGTGCCGAAATTTGATTTTGAGTTCGCGGCATTGGATAGCGAATGTGCTTCGCTCGTTTAAATTGTATTATGGAGAAAACAGCTGATTTGTGGAAGGGCTAATGGACGGTCGTACCTAAACGTATAATTGATACTCTTTAAAATATCGCATTGGCTATTGGCATTTCGCTGTTTTATTTATTATAATATATATATGTATATATTTTTTTTTTGAAATAATGCTGGTAGTGCCCCCAAGATTTAGATTTGTAATAGGACTTGAACACTCGTCTAGTTTCGTTCCTTAGTTTTGAGAAGTCACTATTTCATATAAATGGATACGACTTCGTTGATCCCTGATTACAAGCAGGGCCTTGGTTTTGAACTATTGTCTCAACGATTCTCCGATTTGCTTCCATCCTCAATTCACGGTACAACGAGAAAACATATCCAAAAAATAAACTACGTTTAGCATTTTTTAGGTTTTTTATTTGCATTTCTACTCAAGTTTTTGATGCATGTATGCACGTAGTTTTACAAATTACTATTTTTTAATTTAAATATACAAATTTCTCAAAGACATTTCGAGGGTATTTTTCTTTTCTAGAAAACTTTTATTAAAACTTTGTTTTATTCACATTTAGGTACTAAGCAATTTTTAGGGTAAATAAGGCAATTTGGGGAAATGGTACTAAATAATCAGCCTCATTGCGAGAGTCGTGTCGTACGCAAGTCGTTTTTTGAGAGTCGAATCGTATCGAAAATTGCATGTCATTGCCTAAAATTTCGACTCGACTAGTTTATTAAAACGGAAAAATTTGGCAGCACTGCATAGCTTTCGACGATTTTCGTCGTTTACTTATTTCAGCACGACAGTGGACAATTGCAATGTTGTCGAGTCGTACAGTTTAGCCTAATTTACGACTTACGCAAAGCGGCTTAATAAAAGGGTTTACCCCATTTAACTGAAAAAGGCTCGTCAAGCTCGAACGACTTGAAACGAGTACTTAAGGTATTTCGATTTTACCAAAGTTAATGGGTTTACTTAGTAATGAATGGGAATTATTGGGATGAATTTAGATTTGCAATTTTTATTTTATTTTTTTTTCTTATGTTATAAGGTATCAGCACTTTATAGGATGTATAAAAATGTCGCACATGCAAAATTTTAGCGCAGGATGTCCTTAATAATAATGTGGGTCCTATTAAAATATATGTGTTCCTTTGAACTGCAAACTACTTCGACAATGCGGAAACTTTTAAGGTGGATTTGGGTGCCTTGTACCAGATTAATTTTCGTTCATTATCAGGGAATAATTTTCTTTTTTTTCCTTTTCTTTTCATTCCTTAAATACTAGATATTCATGTTAATATGTATGTATGTATGTATGTATGTACATGAGGGTGTTCGTTAAAATATCAACATCTAAATTTTGTATGAAGCAAAATTTCAAACAAATATTTAGGGTTGCGACCTATCAGGGTTTGAAAAAATTTATATTAAAAAATGACAATTAGTCGACAACACTTTGCCTTGAAATCTGATAAATTTAAAATATTATTTAAACTTACCTATTTAAAAAAATTCAAACTCGCTGATTTATAGCTGGTTGAAGTCAAAATTGTGTCGAAGTGTTGGCGATTTTTTTAAATTCATTTTTTTTTTCAAACCGTGGTAGTTACCCCTAAACTTTTTTTTAAATTGTGAAAGTTTTATGGTTGTCCCTATTTTGTATCTAGATCAAAATAAAGTGATACACCATGATGTTGATATTTTTAAGAACCATCCTAATGTGTATTATATGCAATTACGTATAGTCGATATTTGGAAACTTTATAGGTATAGTATATGTATATCTATCACTTAACTTTTAGAATACTAAGTGAAATAAGCGTTTCTAAAAATATGTATGTAGTATCGTATGTATGTACATTTTTCGTATATGTGTTCATATTTAGTATTAATTTAGATTCAGTGAATATGTATGGATATATTAATGCTTTTTTTACACTGTGTAATTTATGTGTAATTAAGTTTATATGAACTACTCGTAAAATCTATGTATACACATATGTACTACTTTTATTATATAAAAGATGCAAAATCCTTGTTTGACATGGTCACAGTTCTTGTAATGTAAATGTAAGTTAGTAGGTTGTATTCGTTCAACATATACATACATAAGTTTAATAAGTAAGTGTTTGGCATATCTGTAGCTTTTGTGGCCCATCACAAGTCTCCATGTTTTCAATTAGACGACTTTTACACCATTCAAGTATTGAATTCAATTATGCTTATGCCATTTTTGCTATTTGCTGTTTAAAGAACCAAAAACTTGAATTCAACAAAATTGAAGCGTGCAAAAGCAAATAGAACACCAAAAAGAGAATGAACTAGATTTGCTTTCAAGCACTTTAATCATGTAAATCGGGTGTAAGAGTTGCGATTATCAGAAATCTACTGGAGTGCACAGCATTGGGGGTAATATAAAGCTGATGCCAGATAAAACGCTTGCTTCGCTTTTCGTAGCGCGCACTGCTAACCACTACACCACAGCGGTAATTTTTAACAATAAATTGCACAAACAATTTAAAAAAGTGTACTCCTTTTTTTTATGTTTGTACTGCTTTTTTTTCTATCGAGAATAGAAATGTACTGCTTTCTCCATTTCAGAATCTGGCAACCCTAGTTCATTGTGGCATATCTTTTGCGTCTGACGCTTTGCTGGCAAAGTTATAAATGTACAAAAATATAATAACATATACACATTAGACTGCATCACTTCGACCAAAATATTTTCGAAAAATATTAAGATTTACGTGTGCTGGAACGATTGGAAAATACCTCCAAAAATGGAGTTTCTTATGAATAAAAATTGTTTGTTAAAGTGTTTTTTGGAAAAATCCCCTCAGATGACAAAGCAGTTTAAGCTTTAAAAATCTGCAAGGGGAAAGAAAGGGTGAGAAAATTCCTTTCCAATGATACCCCATAAGTCAAAATCCGTAAAGTTTATGCTGAGTTATTCAAGTTTTTTTAAACCAGTCTTTGAAAGAAGTTCAAACAGCATAAAAAATCTCGCTATTGCGAGTCCGTTGAAATTTTTTGTAATACTCTTATGCAAATTTTATAAGCTTAAACTGTCATCTAAAGTGATTTTTTGAAAAAAAACTAAAGAACCGTTTTTATTCACAAAAAACTAAAATTTTGGAGGTTTTTTCAAATCGGTCCAGCTCACGTAAATCTTAGTATTTTTACGAAATATTTCGGCTATAGTCTTAAAATATAATAGATTTTATAATTCCGGTGGAAAAACAGTACGGATTTTTTTTTTGTATGGGGAGTGATGCAGCCTAATGTAGATACATACCTATATGGACATTAAATTAATTCTGTAGAAAACCAAATTTTTAAATCAAAGCGAAACATGTGTGTTTAAAAAAAAAGAGAAAAAAAATAAAAGTTTAAACAGATTTATGTACATACATATATTTAATTTTTTTATTATACTGTATAAAATTGCTGTTAAATGAAACACAAATTAAACATTTAACTTAAAAGCCTAAGGTAGATCTAAGAAGATTGCATGAAAAAATTAGAAATGCGTAAAGCACGTTGAATGTACACCTTAACTCATTAATACAGTTTAGAAAACTATTTTTAGGATTATCGAAAACTACTTCTGCTATACATATGTATAAAATACACGCTTATATGCACATAAAATTTTTCGCTTAACTGCTTCACAGCTACTTTACTAAGTGCGCCTAATCTATTACAATTGCTACTTAATTGCGAAATGTTTTTATATACTATTTATTAAAAAAAAAATCTCAATGCTTTATCAATTCCTTCCATGCTCCGGTGGTAGCTTACCGAAGGCTCCTCAAGAATTCACCACCGGTCGCGCATGATGTGTATGCTGATGTTGCTGTTGCTGCTGCTGCTGTTGTGGCGGTAAGTGATGATGATGCGCTGCACTACTGGCGCTGGTGGCAGCTGCCGAATGCACTGCATGCTGCTGCCGCTGTTCCTGTTGCTGCTGTTTTTGCCCTGGTGCTTGCCGCAACACCGGATTGCGTAATACCAACTCCGAATCCTCTGATATAATCGGCAATGAGTTAGCCCAATGATAGTTAATCAAATGGCTGATACTATCAAAAATGCGATCCTTCGTACGCACTACACCTTCCGGATCGATAAGTAGTAAATGCTTGGGTGTTTTTACCTCCAAACCGGTGAGCACATACTGGCCATGTTTACCCTGAGATTCACGTACCAAAAAATCGCCATCATTTTTAAGCATACTCTCTGAAATCTGACGACTAATGCCCGTATGGAACCACAATTCGGTGTTGAGTTGTGAACGTTGCACTTCAGCGGAGAGGGAAAATGGTTCTGGTGGAAGAAAAAAAAGGAATTAGTTTACTGTGCTCCTATTTTATATTTGCTAAGATATACTTACGCATATCGAAGACATCACGCACGGGCGCTTGTGGCAACGCACATGCGCCCTCTGTATCGGCCATTGGATCGAAGTTGCTGAGGTTCACATTGGCCGAACTTTGATCGGGTGGTGGACTATTCAAATCAATCAGATTACTGCTAAGACGATCACGCGGTTTTTTCAAATTTAGCTGCCCGATTTTGTGTTGAGGTAATTGTGACTGCCTGCTTTGCTGTTGTTGTTGCTGCTGATGTTGTAACAACAATTGCTTCTGCAACTCTGGCGGTAAATCGTTTTCGCTCAGCAAGTCTGGCGGTAATTTGTCGGGCAAATCATTATAGTAGTCTTTGCTATTCTCTACGGGTGTGTTGAGATTTAGAACGGCTTGATTTCTTGGGAAAAAACAAATAAAATGTGAATATTAATAAAATAAAACTAAATTTGGAATACTAGGTACTTAGTAGTCACTAGAAGTGTTGTTGTACATACAAACGGTGGCGGGAACAAAATGTTAACATGTTGTGGCTATTTTGCTTTTGTGCTCACTATCAAAAAAAAAAAAACATGAAAACCAAAATCTCATTTTATGTATAAAAAATCAACGAATTTCAGCAAATGCTTATCAAAATTACTAACTTTTTATTCATAATTTAAAAAATCTAGGTATACAGTTTTGTAGCGTATTCAATTTTAGAGAAATAAAGTGCAAGTTCGAAGTAGCTAGGACTTACCGTTGATTTTTGGCAATTCTTTTTGATGACGGTGTCACGCAATTTGTTCCATACATGAACACCGTCCGTGCAAAAATTGCCAAAAACTAATGGTACGTCCTAGCTACATCAAACTTCCACTTTATTGAATTTAATGGGCTACAAATCTGCATACCTAGCGTTTTTAACTTCTGAATAAAAAGTTAGAAATTTTGATGAACATTTGCTGAATTCGTTTTATTTTTATCAGTCTTGTACGAAGTTCGAAATTTTGACTTACTGGTTTTTGTAAGAAAGAGAGCTTTACTTAAATTTAATGGGCTGCAAAACTGCATACCTAGATTTTTTTAATTCTGAATGAAAAGTTAGAAATCTGGATAAACACTTGTTTAAATTCGTTATATTTTTATTCTGATTAAAAAGTTTGAAATTTTGGTAAAAGTTGGTCGAACTTTCCAAGTTTTTAACGAAAGTTGCTTATATGGTTTTTGCTACCTAACCATACTTTCGGAAAAAATAATAAAAACACAATAAAATAACAAAAGAAAAATAGCCAAAACTTTATAAAAAAATTTTGTGTACCTATTTTTTTTCCCGCCATTCTAGGTAAACTAGTTTCCGCTTATACTCTTTAAAGAAACTGTATAAGCGGAAGCTACTGTGTTCCTATTTTCCTCCACTTCACTTTAACTACGCAATATTTTCTACTCACTTCAAATGTTTGATTGCATTAAAGCGCAGCATAAATGCTTTACCGATTGTCAATATTAAGTCTTCACTCTGTCCGCCAATGCACTCGAGCACGTAGCAAGCACGCCACTCGTCCTCATTCTTGGCGATGTATGCCAGAAAGTCCAAAGTGTCCTGTAAGTAGAAAGCACGAAATTAAATTCAAGTAGAAAAAATGCTACATATATACTTATCTGCTTCTTTTGTACTTCTTTCGATTTATAAAACTTACCGAATCCCCGCCGGATGCAAAGGAAATGTGTGGCATATTGTGACTGGCTATGCGTTGGCCCGTCTCCGCGTTCACCAAATCCAGTGCTCGACTAGATACGTTGATTATGACATTTGTGCCGGCATTCTGCATGTGCGGCCGATCAGAGATGAAGTGCAGTATTTTCTTGTCCACACGTCGTTTGCCAACGGATTTGAGGCCAGCAGCCTCGCACACGCGATTGATGCATTCGCTGATGAAATTATTTTTCAAAACAAAATTTGTTAACATTAGAAATTTAACGTATCGTTATTTATTATTTTCTATGCGTACGTATGTATGCACGTATACCGCAGCCGCTGTGGCTGAGTGGTTAGAGGTGCGTGCTACCACTCCGTAGGGCCAGGGTTCCATCCCTAATCCGAGCAACATCCAAATTAGAAAAAAAAACTGTTTCTGACAGCGGACGCCCCACGGCAGGCAATGTCAAACCTCCGACGCCAAGTCCACACCGCGTAGAATTTAACAGGGGTCGCTTAAAGCGGCAAAACTCCTTCCGCCGCCAGCCAGAGTCAACTTGGTAAGCTATGCCGATGATTGCACAATAATGGCGACGGGTTCAAACAACGACAGCCTTTGCGAGAAGATATTCGGCAATTTCACCGATCTATCAAATTTCTTCGCTTCACTGCAAGGAACCTCAACATCTCCGTCGCGAAATCTACCGCCACACTCTTCACCACATCGACCAAGGAGATCAGTTTCGAACTAGATCTCTTCGTCGATACTGACAACCACCCCAAAATCTTGGCAGTCACAGCCTGTTTTCCTTCTCCGTATACGCCTCAGCCGCCTGCAAACAAACTGCGAACTAGAACAAAGTCAGCAGCAGCATTTGGGTAGCCGACAAAGAGACCCTGTTTGCAACCTATAAGGCAATCGGCCGGCCAGCGGCAACTATGCAGTGCAAGTGTGGTCGGCAGGAACGAGCGACACACAGTGGTGAAAACTGCAAAACATGCCAGAACGTTGCTCTACAGGCTGCCACCTCATGTCATCTGCACCTGCATCTCCTCGATGCCTCCCAGTCATTGCTGATCGAGGTATTCACCCAGTTTCCGATGGTTGCTTCGATGGCCGAAAGTGGGTGTGCTAAAACTGGTTGCGGACCGAGGAATGCCAAATGCTCAGATGTCTCATTACCAGGTCGCGCTGAGTTATCTGCCACCCAAAGTAAAGCAAGCTCGTTATGTTTGCCAACATAATTTAGTCGAGTTAGAGGGCTGGCCAATGTCTTAAGTGCAGCTTGGTTGTCACTGCAGACACGTAAACTCCTTCACCCTCCACCTATGTTCCATTACTAAGTGCATGGCTTGGAGGATTGCAATTACCTCAGCCTGGAAGACCGAAGCATATACTCCAACAGAAAAGTGAAACTTATCCCCATTAACTTCGAAAAAGACCCCAGATCACGACCCAGAGTCACTTTTGGAGCCATCAGTGAAGATTCGACAATGTGTGAGTCCGGTCTCAGTGATGGAATTAAACCAGCATTCAGTCTCAGGGAATTCAACATTATATAACCTCAACAAAGGTAATGGTGGCGTACTATCCTATAGCATTGAAAATACGCAAGTGCTTAAATCTCTGCCGCCAGCGATTTCCGTTGCGCCCCACTCAGTGTTATACCAATATCCGGTTCTTTTTAGTCAGCAGGTGGTCTTTAAGGCTTTCCCACGTATCAAAACACAAAGTGATGGTAAGTGCAGCTATGCGTCAAGAGCACTATATATACGGTGACCATAAATATGGATTCAAAATGAAGGACAATTTTTCAAAAATATGCCTACATATATTTACGTAGTACAAAAATATCGAAAGAGTATTTATGATTCTAAATTCTTAATACATTTTAAACTTTAAAAACGAATCACGTTTTCTTCATCGATATTAATCTTTTTTTACATGAATATTTATAAATGTATAATAAAATATATTATATTTACAATAGTTTACACGAAAAGTAAAAATCTTTAAAAGATTATTTTATAGGCAAATTTTAAGTCATTCAAAACGAAAACAAGACCCTTTTTTTTGGTTTTTTGGTACTTTTCGCAGTTATTTGTCAAAAATCGACGTCATGAATCGACGTAAAGGACGAGTTACAAAGGTATTTATGTGCCCTTTACAAAAATATATAATTTGTGCAGATTGCGCTTCATAGCATCTACATTTCTAATCCGATTTTCATTATCTTTGGCTCAAAATTTACTGTAATGATATATATCCTTCATCAAATTTTTAAACTAATGAAAAAAATAATCAAATAAAACTGCGTATTTGATTGAAACTCTCACTTTTTTGGACTTTTACGACAAAATCCAAATGGTCGCCTGTAGCACTAATAATTTTCATTGAAGTCGCCACAAGTTATATATTTTGGTAAGAGGCACATCAATACCCTTCGAGCTTTAAGTCGCTTACATTGATTGTGAGATTTTTTCATGAGATATTGAAGAAAAGCTACGAAAAGTACCAAAAAACACTTTTTTGAAAAAATCCATCCATTGTCCGATAATTTTAAAATAACGAATAAATTGCGGGACAAATGCAGGACACTTGGAAAAAAATCAGTACATTTTCAGGTTTTTTAGGTTTGAAAAACTACGCAGGACCGACCTTTGAAAAACAGTACGGTCCTGCAAAAAACAGAACGGATGGTCACCGTAACTATATACCACTAAAAAAATTTAAGTTAAATAAAGAGGCTATCAAGGAACCAATTGGGTTCTTTACTATCGAAACCAGATACATTTTCGTGGACCCCTCTTTCAACTCATGGATCCCATTTATTTTTCACGCCAACGTAGACCCCGTCGAGCCTCCCGTGGACCCCTGCGGGTCTACCTGGACCACTTTGAGAAGCACTGCACTAGACAAACATGGTGTTTCTAATTGATACCAGCCAACAAGAAGGAGCAATGACTTGTGGTTTGTACCGCCATCTCAAAAAGCGCCACACAGCCCTGTTTATGAGTACAGATTGCAATGAAAACTTAATTTCATAAAATACTTTCTAATCAATTTTCAATTGTTCGCGCAACATTGATTACGAAATTTGTGAAATACTCAGGTCAAATAAAGCATTACAACTGTACCGTATTGCATGATTTTCCCAAGCGCATAGAAAGCAGGGAAATCTATCTGTACATCCGACTTAATTTCTCACTTCTTCCAACTCAAAACCGAGTTTGTCACTGATATCCACATTGTCATATCATTTTACGTAACTCACCAACCACTTCAAAGCTAGATGAACATTTCGCTCACCGAGCACGACTTGTTCAGCAGCCGTAAAATACAAATCCAAGCCCACGAAATCCTATTACACCTTAAGCTGGGCTGGAGTTTAACCCAAAAGATATGCGAAAAAACCTCAGCCACCTCCCACCCCCCAACTCCTGGACTAACCGCACATTTATATGGCTGCAAGACCTACAACTTTGCATAAACCCAAATACATACTGAAGTAGGTACATACGTAAGTTTTTTTTTACTTACCGCGCAACTTTGGTTCTCGTTTCAAAGTTCAGCAATTTCATTGAAGTTTTCACCTCCACGCAGCCGGTGTACTGGAAGAGAAAAAAAAGAATAAAGTAGTGAAAAGCAGCAAATGACGGTACAAGTGGCTTGCGGTTAGAGTTCTGGCACAAAAATAGAATAAAGCAAACAAAAAAAAACTAGGTGGCAAGGTAATGTGGTGGCACACAGTGGGTCAGATAGAGGCTAGGCGTCTCAAAAATCTGTAACTTTTTTAAAATGTACTGCAGATTTATGAAACTTTTGCAAATGGTATCACAAATATACATATAAGCTTTTTATATAAAAGTTGAAAGTAGCATGTTTTTCGAATGTATTGGAATCTCTTTATATAGGTAAGTAACGCGTGACCTATCAGACAAAATTTTGTATGGCCATGTGCGGATAGTTTTGAGTGTTGCTTTACGAAATTTACTTGAACTCTTATGGCCCGCAAGGGCTCATGAAGTTTCAGTCAGTATTTTATAAAAATCTAAAAAAAAAAATATTTTCACAACTTCATTCCATGGTTAAGCTATAAAAAGTATAATAGAATAATATATGCTTGAAAATGTTATCGTCTGCACTCTCAACAAAAAAAAAAAAACAGTTATAATAATATTAAACCACCACGAAAACCACCTAAGAGATTTTGATATTTTTTTTTTATTCTGAAGGGTTATCATTTGGAAAAGTTTTGGGGGGGAAATTTTGGAGCAATGGAAGGTTTTCGGAAATTTCGGTCATTTCCCTAAAATTAAATTTTCTCAGTAGAAATCAAAAAGAAAGAAAGACTGACTGAGGTTTCATAGAATTTAATTTCTTAATGTCTACTGAAGTATAAATTTCTAATTTAAGCTTTTCTATTTTTTTGCACCGGTTACCTGTTACATATCTATTACAAAAACAGACTTTTTGAAAACCGATTTTAAAATTTTTTGGTCTGCCACCAGTTAAAACTCCACTCAAAAATTAGAAAACAAAATATTTTTGTACCGATAATAGGTTATTTTTTCCAAAACTCCATTTTTTGAAACAAATTTTTTAATTTTAATTTTATTTTTGCTAGCAAATGCAAGTTAACCAAATTTAGAAAAATTATATATTGTGGAAAATCGTAAAATGCATTCAATTTTTTTTTTTTGAATCGGTTAATTACCAAAGAGAATAAGTGAGATTTTTTCGATATGATAATTTTGATGCAGTTCGGTTGGTTTGAGAAAGTTCTGTTGAAGTGCACACAAATTTTCCATACCAGAAAATTTCTGACTTAATCCCTTTAGAAATTAATGCCGGGTGGCCGAATTCGGGCAACATTTTTTAATTCAACACGACAGCGCCAGACAGCGCTACCAGTTGAAACTCTCCTCAAAAATAAGAAAAACAAATTTTTTGAGCTTTAAAATTTTTTTATTTTTTACTAGGCAACCCTGATTTAACTTCACGTTTTTTTTTCAAAAGTGCAGGTCACGATAATTTTCAAATATATATGTAATACATATAGGTATGTTACCAATAGCGTAAAGAATAAAGATCCTTCTTTTGGAAACGGAATTTTTTGCAGATACAATTTTTTTTTTTTAACTTTGAGTTTATTTTTATAAAGGAATTCGAGTTAAAAATATGAAATTTTTACTGAAATCAATAAATTGCATATTCTTATAATTTTCGCAGAAAAAATCATGCTTTTGGAGAATATAATTTTGAGACGCTGAGAGCACTGCTGATCCACTGTGGGGCGGCGCGCAGTAAAAACGAAATACATGGAAAATGCAGAGCTTGAGGAGCAGGTGGGCAATGAGTACATATGGTATGAACGTATGCGTTAAAATGCAACGTAAGCAAAAAGAAGAAACAAGAAAAAAACATTTTACTACGCGCTTATAATGAAAATCAACAGTGGCAGCGGTAAAGGTAGGCGAGCACTTGGGCGTTAAGCTGAATGAATGTTCCAATGAAAGTGCGCATACAGAAGAAAGTGGAGGATGAGAATGGACGCTTTAGCGTAGCGACGACATTGGCATTGGCTTTGGAAAATACGCCAACCGCCAACAGGCAGAAGCCGCCGATGAGTGGTTGTAGTAGAGCTGTAGGCGCGCATGTGTATATCTTTGAGTGTTCAGAAGCCAACGGAAGTAGCGGAAGTAAAATAAATACTTGGCAAGAAGGAAGTAACTCTTGAAAACGAAAAAAAGAAATGAAAAGAATGCTGCAGCACCGCCAACGTCATCTTTTACTCGAGAAGCAATGAAACTCCAGCATTCCTGCTCTACCACTGCTTAATACTCGAAGCAGGCAATGTCATTCATCAAGCGGAGGCAACGTGCATTGAACTACTATGAGCAAAAAACAAATAAAAAATGCGTGCAAGTACGAGTACAATAGTTAGTACAGCACGAAAAAGGAAGCAGGAAATGCATAAAGCAAATGCCACAACGGTTAAGACCGCATGCCGCGCAGCCCGACAGGACGTCATTGTCCGATTATGATTACTCGTTCGCTCCAACGGCGACAGGAAGACTATGATGTGGCGCGCGCAATGCAAGAAATCCGAAAATATTCACTACAGTGGCATGCCATGTAATTTAATACTACAGTGCATGTACATACATACACATGTAGTGGGTACTCACCCGCACATTGAACGAAACACCCTGCTCCATGATCAGCTCATCGGGATATGCGCAACCATCGCTGGCAACGCCTCCATTGGCCTCACAGCCATTGCGTGGCATTTTTTGTGTCCTTTGATGCGGATACAGTTATGTGTTTTATAATATGTATGTATGTATGTATTGTTGTATGTAAATTTATAATATTCAGTCGATTCTGCTGTGCAATTTTACATCAGCGGTTGGCATTTATGAGGATGCTGAAAGGAAGTGTAGAAAAGGAGAGCATTAATTATAAACTGCGACGGACGTATGTACATACACATATGATGAAATACATAAATACTTGTTTTAAGAAAAGGTTATCATCTTTTAATTTGATTTTCTACAAAAACCAATAAACAAATACGTCGTTAATATGAGTCCTTTGAGAACAAGAATGGAAAAACAAAACGGTATTCTTTAAGTTAAATCAAAATCACCGATCCGACAATAGTCTCAACAAAGAAGTTTCTATATTTATTGCAAAACAGGCTTTTGCCTTCAGCTTTCGTCTTGGAGATGATATCTACATTATAGCTGATAGCCAGACGTCTATAAAAGACATAACAAACAGGCTCCAACCTCCATTGTAGCCATGACATGTCGAAAGCCAGTAGTTCGAAACGCCCTATCTCAGAAAACTTTTAAAGAACGCCCTGTTGCAGAATTTAATCGAAGAACGCTTTATCTCAGCATATTTTCATTTGAGATGGAATGTTTTTGAACTGAATTCTGATATATAGCGTTTATGACCCGTGCGGTTATTAATTTGTGAGTATATTTCCTTGTCATACCCACGGATATTCTTTCGTATGGCAGTGCATATACAAATTTCAGGGTTTCTTCGGTTTGGCGTCGACTTGCGAAAGTGAAGGTTGTCTCAGTAGATTTTTGTCGACTGCGGCCGGTTTTATTGCCATTTACGCGGGTCGATTTTGGTTATACGACAATATTGGACTAGGAAATCGAACCAAGCAAAGGCAGCTTTGCGGCTCCTAAAGTACAGAGATAACTGTCGATTTGACAGTTTCTAGCCTTAATTATACATACATGTGTAGGCATGAAGTACCGGCATACAATAGACTCGGCAGTAGCCTCGATTATGATTAGTAGATACGCAAATTTTCAATTAAAAAAATGCGCAATGATATTTTCCACACAGTTTATTTACAATTTCTAATTTGAAATTCAGATGGCATAAATAGCAATTCCGCTCAATGCCCGGAAAATAATATCCGTCTGGAATAATAAGTTTTATTTTCACATTTATGGATAGATAGATGCATATGTATATGTACATTACGGTGTCTCAACAAAAAAAAGTTATGTACTATTTTTTTCAACGAAATTATAAAATTTATTATATTTAAAGACCTGTCGCCGATCGATTTGAAAGTACCTCAAAAAATGTCATTAGCTTGATGCCGTTGATAAAATAATCTGAGTAAGTTTTTGGAAAAAAAGTATTTTTAAAAACTAATTTAATTTTTAAAACTCTTTTTTGCGGTATTTTCAAATCAGTGCAGCCCACGCAAATCTTAATATTTTTTCCGAAATTTTTTGGCGGCTGTCTTATAATATAATAAGTGTTATAATTCCGATGGAAAAAACAGCATCAATTTTCTTTAAGGAGAGTGGTGCACCCTAATATATGTACATACATATTTATGTACATTAACAAAGGTAGACAATAACAGCAAAGATAACTGCAAAAAATATGATTGTTTTAGGCGCGTGTGCCATGTAAAGCGAAACTTCTGGGTTTGAAGAAGCAGGTTCTTGTTAAATATTTGATGTTTGTTACAGATGGGCGCCCAACCATTAAGTGAAACCCTAGCCAACAACAGCCACGCATATACAGTGACACATGCGTCACGTCGACAAGCTTAAACAAGTGTAACCAAACCGAAAGGATTGAAAAAGAGACAAATAGCAAAAGCTGGTGTTTACAAAAACAAAAAAACAAAGTTCTACACACATTTATGAACAGTGTTGAACATTAATTATTGTATAATTAATTAATTAAAAATCCACAGTCGGCTGAATGTGACTGCAGCATAAACATTCCTACTTCTACCATTTACCCATAACAATGACGGTCAACAATGACCGAGGCTGTTAACTAAAGACTGGCGCGCTATTTAGGCCGGAAAAACAAACACGAATCGCTGTGAAAACAATGAATGAATGGCGATGCAACGACGAGAACGCCCTCAACTGTTGACAGTTCAAACAAAGGGCGCAAAAAAAAAAGCTAAAGTAAAGCAAAAGAACTTTGCGTTAATTAAAACACCACCCTATAGGCTGGCGGATTTCAATTTTTAATTTTGCAACAGCGACCCCTGCAATTACTCACACTTATCCATGAGTCCATGAGCTGCAGCAATGTTGAACGTTGGACGTGTATGTACTCATTGGAATTTCTTCGGAAATCTTTGGCATGGATGTGGCGCAATTATCGGAAGTGTCGGCCTTTCTGATTGTGTGTGGGTTTTTTTTTTTTGGCTGATATGCGCATATTAAGAGCAGACTACCAGTTGGTACTTTATTTTCATTAAAAAAGTATTTTTTTAATTCGCTCTGGTCAATAACAGCTATTAAAAAATTTTGATAAACAAACTGGAGCTTTTATGTTCTGACGTTTACAGCGACTGAATGAGTACTCAATTATCTCAGAAACAGAAAAACGAAAATTTGAGCTATCGAAACCTGTGTGGATGATTTATTCTTTACAGGTCCGCCGATCGAATGCTTTGACCACCGAGTTTCGCTGTTTTTTTTTATCAATATTTCGTATTTGTCGACTATGAAGTTGACTCTTCATTCATGGGTGATCTATACAGATCTATCTAGGCTTTTGATTTTAATAAAAAAAAAACACCCTAAACCGAACTGGATGTCGAAATCTTTAATGTTACCGGAAAGAACAATCTCTGATATTCACTTTTTTTTAAATAATTTCATTCAAATATTGGCCGCCTATACGCTGTCGGTGGTCCATTCGGAAGGTCCAATTTTCAATTACTCTTTCCAGCATTGCTACCGCGAATTATGCGAGTAATGTTGGCTTCCAAGTTTTGAATCATAGCTGGCTTACCGGTGAAGACTCTTGACTTCACAGAACTCTAAACAAAATAATCCAGAGATGTCATATAACACGATCGAAATGCAAAAACTTTTCTCACAGAATGCTGATTTTCGTAATACAGCTGAATAATTTGGGGACGTTGTTGGGGTGTGAGCCTTTATATGATGAATTGTCAAACAATACTGAATAAAAATAGTATGTACAGTGTAATTTTTCGTTATGAAAAATCGTTGCAAAATACATCATACTCCTACCCTGTCGCATATATCAACAACGAAAATAAGATTTTAGAAAATACCCCTGTAGTGTATGTTTGAAGTAGTTCAAAAATCTTGTTAATTTTAGAGATTTTTTTTTTTGCTTGCAGTGTACCTGACTTTTAATTTTTTTGTACAAAAATTTATAAAAATAAATTGTCAAAACTTGTAAGAAACCGTGTCCCTAATATGTAATGTGTGTGGTACTGTTATGTACACTTGTGTCCACACAAATCTTACCACCCAGTTAAAAAAAAAATAGAATTTGGTAGAATTTTGTAAATTAATAAAAAAAAATATTATAATCATTTCAATTTCAATTCCGTCCCGCCCATCCGGAGATTCAATATTTAAGTCGCGAACCCGGCCATCCCGACGTTTTTCAGAATTGTCCCTTGGCTCCCGAAATCTATCACTAAGTGTGGGGCATTTGGGGCCGAAATCTATCACTAAGTTTAATGCACAAAAATTTGGGGCATTTGGGGCCGATTGTTATTTTTCTTACTTCTTCTTCCTTTTCGTGTCAATAAAACATAAAAGTGCGTATTTAAGGAAGATTTTCTGAATTTACGGAGGTGGTGGGTTTTATCGGCAGTGTCGGGAAAGGATTTTGGTCCTGCCCCGCCCGCAAGTTTTTAAAGACCTTCCCGATACCGCCCATCCCGCCCATTTTTAAATCATCACCGTGGGTCCTGCGGGTGCCGATATCCCTCGCCTAACTCTAGTCTGAACCATGGCATCTAAATTAACCCTAAATTAGATTTTGCTTTACAACTTTTGTGCTACTGGGAAAAAGTAACAGCAGGTTCTTATGTTTTTGGGTTTGGTGAGTACGAACATAGAACATGATTTTAAAAAATCTTAAATCAAAGAATTAAAATCGATTCAATTCGCTTGAAGCCTTTTCCTCTGAGGTTCTTGGGCCGCTTATTACGTATCTGAGGTCAGGTTAGAAAAACTTGAAACGTTTTCCACGGTCGTTTTTGGGGTTGGTAATTAAGAATCTGAAGTCAGGTTGGAAAAAATCAAAATGGCGGGCAAACCAAATGCAAACTGGCAACCTAAAAATTAAAATTGATTTGATCTGCTTGAAGCGTTTTCCTCGGGGGTTTTTGGGGCAGTTGATTACAAATCTGTGGTGAGGTTGGAAAACTTCAAATTCTCTGAGGCCTGTCTTTGCCACTTGAATCTTATACAGACCTACAGGTTTTTAAACATACCAAGCTATACCAAGCTCGTAGAAATGAAAAATAGATAACAGAGGGCAACATACGATAAAAAGATGTGTAATTACAATATATTAAGTTTGCAAATATAGAAGATTACAGATATTATATATGCATGTACATTGGCTGAAAAAAGCTTTTTTCGACTTAAGGCAGAAATTCTATTAACTATCTGATCCAAAATCAGCGAAATGAAATATTTTTGTTAGGCTTCAGCAAGCGCCAAGCAAGTCAATATTAATTGAAGTCTCGTTATATTGGTTTTGTTATCACATGTGCCATCAAAGTGCTCCCATTGGGCACTAAATACTCAATAAAACAAAAAAAAAAAAAAAAAACAACTTAATTCTTTTTGGGAAGCGGCACATAGTGTTGTCATCACTCAGCCATTTATTTGTGTTTTTACTTATGTATGTAAAAATGTTGCTTCATATTTTTTGGTAACTTTTATGACATTGCAACAACACAGAATGATGCATCACTAATTGTAAAAAAGCTCTGCGTAATCTCCTTCAATTGAATGCTTATTGTGAACGAGGGCTGCTTGATAATTACGCGAAGTAATAATAAGAAAAAACTGCAATTTGGTTTATTTGTGTTTAGTATTTTTATTTTCAATCTATTTTGTTTCTTCTAAGCTT